TTAATTTCATAATTCTATATCCAAAGCTTGTCGAGTTTTTCATTGGTTTCAGTGGTAAAAGAAAATATGTTACTCAAGTTATATTGGTAACATTCCCAAGTTTCATAAATATTGTTTTCATAAAGACATTGCTTCATCTTTAAGTTGAGTGTTTTTCTGTTTGAAACGCTCATGAATGTATATTCATTTATTCATCTTTGAGATTGTATCGTTCGCTTAAGCTCTTTAGTATGTCTGAGTCCCTACCAGCCCCAGTTCCAGCCCCAGCCCCTGTTCCGGCCCCAGCCCCAACTCAACTCAAACCTAATCATTTAATGGCAGTCGCTTCTCGCCTCGCACATTTCATAAATAATTAATAATCAAAGATATTTTTTACGTGCTTTACTTATCCGTGCTACTGAGCTACAGCCACGCTCCCTGCCGCTGTCGCCCCTCTACCGTTTGGATATGATTGATTGTTGGTTTGGCTGTGTGTGGTTGATTGATGAAACTGCAAGCAAACTACAATGCGAAGGGCGGGCGGAGGAGGTGGAGTGCGGGGGCCACCTGTACCTTGACGGTGCTGCTGCGACTTTTTATCGATTTCATTGCCGAGCTGACCCAGGTTCGAGTGAGTGTGTGTGTGTGTCTGGCCGGACTAAACCTTAAGCGTCAGCGTCAGTCAGCGTAATGCCGGTTTAATTAGTTGGCCAATATCATAAAATAATTTTAGCCAACTAATTGGCAGCACTTGACTGCAATTTATGTGCCACAGCGTGCTACACAGCTCCAGCAGCCAAGGCATTAAGCGTGATTTATACCAGACCCAACTCATATATATGTACATACATGTGTTTATATGTATATATATATATTCATATATATATACGAGCATCGACAGAGCTTTATCTCTAGCATGGTTACGTATGGGTCTGTTGCCCACGCAGTTCGACTTTGACTTGCACACGCATGAGCGCCTGCTTTGTGATGAGGAGACGGCGGAGGACGAGGAGTAGGAGGAGGCGTAGCAGCTGGAGCAGCGCTGTCAGCTGGAGAACAACACAAAATATGTCTCTTGCCTCTCTACTCCGACTCCAGCTACAGCTACAGCCACAGCTTCAGCTCCAGCTCCAGCTCCAGCTCCAGCTCCCCAGCTCCCCAGCTACGGCTCTGTCTGTGACTCTGGCTTACGGCTGGTGCGACTATTGTGATGGCTGTTGCTTCATATTTTTCATATCTTACGTCTGCATCATCGACGAAGCTGACAACAATGGAGACGCAGTCCGCAGTCCGGCAGTGTGCCAGCAGGAGGCGGCTGTCGGGAGGGGGAGGGGGAGGGGTAGGGCGTGGCAGAGCGCGGGCGGCCGGTTCACTTATTTGGCAAATAACAACAATGGACAATGCGGCAGGCAATGCCTCAGCGTTGACTTTATCCTTGCTACCGAGGCGCATCACATATAACGAGATCTGCCTCTCCCTCTTCTACCTCCTCCTCCATCACTCTCGCTCGGTCTTTCTTGCATGGCAGTTATTCGTCAATGATGCTGCCCTCCCTCTCACCCTCTCTCCCTCTATCCGTCTGATTCCCCTCCTCATCGTTTCACAAATTAAAATGAATTTTTATTTTCGACTTGACACTCGCCCAAGCTGTTATATCAGCTATCTGAGAAGGTTGGCAAACGAGTTACCCGCCAAATGAATCGCATCGAGAGCTTACCCAAGTTATATCATTTCGAAAGAAAATGTGAAAGTTGCAACAAGATGCTGGAGAAATTATAACAAAGTGTAAAGAAGTCAGGAAGAGAAGAATTTCTTTCTA